TTTAAGGGATCTTTGAGGGGGGAGGGGGGGGTTTTTTTTTTTTTTTTTTTTTTTTTTTTGCCAGAACAGAAAGGTTGCATCTTTCTGACATACAGATTCATGTTTTTGGTTGTTTTGTACTAACTGCAGCAATATTTGTTAATAATGTCTGAAAAAGTCTTCAAAAAGCAAATTTAGTTTACGGTAAAGGCATATTGGGAAAAGAGAAAACAATATTAAAGACAACATGATGTCACACTGTTTCTCATCTTTCTATGTAAGAAAAAACAACGTGAACCTGCTTCTCAAAACGGTAAAATGAAGTCCATTTATTGAAACATCAAGTCCTGTGTGATGTGTACATAGTGTGAATTATGAAGGTCTGTTTTGTTTTCCATACTGAATGATTGAGGGTGAATATTTAATGCTCTACCAACCGTCTAAGTGCCCGCAGAAGGTAAAATAGTAAAAATATAGATCTGATAGTTCTCCTATTAGAACTCCTTCAAGCATTCAGCATCCTGAGCTGAGTGAATCTTCATTAGCGCAGGCAGAGACTGCATGACATAGCATGGCAGGAAATAATACTTTATGTTGTCATTGGTGTGGCATTTTAGTAGTAATTCTAGTATTTTATACAACACACCACGCAGATAATTTTTTTAACATGTCCAAAAATTGTGTCTGCGCTTTTAGCTAGAGGTAAAACTGTAGGTGCTTCTCTATCAGAGACAAAAAAAAAGGTGCAGCACTGTGTACTTGTTTTACTGCTACATGAGGATTCGCACTTTGTGTGCTGCTTCTCCTGAGTTACATGAGAAACTGGTTTTAGTATTTGTCTAATGACCACATTGTTGTTGGATTCAAACCTTTTTGTCAGTGTTTCTACCGTGGAGGCCGAAGAGGACTAAGAAGGTCAAAGAAACTGCTGAATGAATTTTACATATTTCACAGACCTGTAAATGACTCCTTGAAGATGCAGGAAGAATAATCCCACAGCAATCTCTGCTGCATAGAATCTGAAATAAGAGACATTTACAGAATTTGCCCCACATGAACAACAAGCTCCCACCAGCAGAACAAAACGTTTAAATAGTCTGGAATCTCCTGAAAGGCTGACATGTCTTACACTGCTTGGGGTTCCTTGAACTTGCCCACTTGCTGGATGTGGTACATGAGATCTCCACCGTTCACATACTCCATGACGAAATACAGCCGGTCCTACAGAGAAATGCGACAAAACAGATAAATTCATTAGAAGCTACACAATGAGTGTTGCGTTAAAAGCAGCTCTAATCAAGTTCAAAGCAGAAAGATGCAGTTTGGCTTTCAAAAGCTGAGAGATGTCCCACGCCGCTACGACAAGGTGACCCGAACGGCACACAACAAAACGGCTTTGCGAAAGAAGAAAACACCCCACGCAGCCTCCTGCCAGAAAATGTTCTCTTTATTTTAAACCGCTGGTGTCTTATTGCCTGTGACAAGTTCAGCCTGACCCCAGCGCGCCACACTTTTGATGGTCCCTAAATAAAATAAAACAAACGGAGCTGTTCCACACAGCAACAGAGACATGCTGACAACAAACTGGACTTTCCGCCTGGCTCGGCTTCACCGGCAGCTCAGAAACGAAAGGGCCTCGAGTCATATTTATACAACGTCTTCACCGAGTCCTCGCATTTTGCGAAATTCGATTTTCCTCTCTCGGTAACGAGCCACAAAAACTGAACATTCTGGTCGCAGACGATCACATGCTGCCTCAACATCACTGCTATTATTTCTTTTAAACGAAGGAAAAAGACTTGTTAATTTCAAAGATCTGACACAAAGGTGCAGATGTAGACGGTTGCACATGCATACAAATGCTCCGACTCATTAGCCTACAAATTGGGGCTTGTTTATTTTTACCGTCTGGTTCTTTTAATTAAACCTGTCACATGTACCCTCTAAAACTTTTTTTTTTTCCCCCCCCCCCGACTAATTTATTTAGCTAAAAGCCTCGTTCTGAACTAATCTGACCTGACCTGGGTGGAGGCGTATTGTTCGGATGTGCGTCCAGGGGCGATTTACGTACCACGGTCTGGAAGCACGAGTGGAGCTGCGTGAGGAAGGGCGGCTTGTCCTGCTGGGCCAGGACTCTCTTCTCCACCATCGTACACTCCACATCGTCATCCTGGATCACCACGTCCTTCTTCAGGATCTTAATGGCGTAAAGCTCTTCTGTGGCCTTCATCTCTGCTAGCATAACCTTTGGAGAAGCAAAAGTGGATAGAATGACTGGTGAACTCTCTGTTACCAGAAAGTCCAAAGTTTTTTTGTTTTTTCCCCTTTATTTTTGAGTTGAGGCATACTTCTCACCTTTCCAAAGCTGCCTTTACCCAGCACCGCCAGAAAGCTAAAGTCACTTAGCTTGACCTGGTCCAGGCTGTTGGAAGGGTAGCTGCTGGGGCGGCCGTCGTCCGTCTCTGAGATCATCTTCTTTCCCGGGCCTAACTTGGCTTCCTGCACCCGGAACACAAAACGCAAAGTGTCTGACAACTGAACGTTTTCCGAAACGTAACAAGTACAGGGTTTCAAGGAGCCACTTCCTGTCACAAATACAACAAAACTTCAAGAATATCACTTATTTTCATTTGTTGTCATGAAAATAAATCTGATATTTGGTTTCTCTGCGTCTGTTTCTTCATTTGCACCACAGTTCTGGTCTACAAGTTGATATACTGTACTCAGCACAGGCATGGATAATGCCATAATTTGGGGCTTTGAATGATTTCCATTTATTTTTACAGGGCAGCATGGTTAGACCACATAGAACTGCAATTTGTTGACGGATTCTGCTTAACTTCATGCGTCTCATGCTGGTTGATGTCAGACTGATCGATCCTTTCTAAAACCAGTTGTGTTTGAGCTCATTTTCCACCAGTTGTGTCCAAGTTTTAACTACCTGAGCCAGACCTGCACCCTCAGATGAAAAGAGATTTGGTCAACATGTTGAGGAACAACCCAAGAAAGGGACAAACCTGCCATAAACAGAAAACTTCTGGTGTCTCTGGTGTTTTATTGGAGGATTTTGTGTGTTTAACGTTGACATTATCAACCTGCACTGACCAATAAGAGAGAAATGCCTGATTTGTGTTGCTGCTACTCACTCGATCAAGGCAAATTCCATATTATTCCAATTATTATTTTTCATTCAATGAGACAAAAATTGAGCATTTTGGCAAAAGTGGAACCAAAAATGCTTGGAGGGATAAAAATGAGGCATTCAAACGTGAACAAACGATATGCATCAGGCATGGTGGTGGCAGCATTTCACTGCCAGTGGTACTGGAACATCGTGCAAAGTTGGGTGGAATAAATCTTCCACTCCTAATCAACAGGTAGATGATTGAAACTTGGACACAACAGGGTTTCCCAAAGGGACTGATGATTCCAAATCAATAAAACTGGATTTGAAATGGATAGGCAGATTAACACCAAGCCTCCAGTGATGGTCCTGACCGCATCGTTCTTGAAAACATATGGGCTAAGTTGGGTCCAACCAATTCAAATCGGCTCTACAAAACGAGTGTGAATGAGGTCCAACTTGCCAAAAGACAAAATGTCATGTATATATTTGAATCAGTGTGTATAATTGTGTCCCTGTGTAGAATTGAGACAATAAATTCAGAATAAAATTGAAGTTATATAGTAAATAATCATTCCACCCTGGATACAAAAGTACATTAGAAGCATCCTGTCAACATTTCATTGATGCCACTGATGAGTGTATGTAAACTTTTGACCAGAACTGTGCCTGTCTACTCAGTTACCACCACAAACTACTGGATGATCAGCGGATTTCAAAATGAAAGGTATGAAATGACTCACTGATGCCACTGGTATTATGGAGCTGATGTGCTGCATGATTAATTCATAACTGATCTTAATACATAGCTTAGCCTTTATTAAAAAAAAAAAAAAAACGGTACACTGCATGTGCTTGTGAAGCAAAAAGTTAATGATACAGCACATCAAAAATAATGCCATAAATAGATAAATGAAGACCAAACACAGCACTAGACATGACTTAATCATGGTAGAGTTAAAGATTTTTATTATTACTATAATCACAAAATAAAACTTGTAAGAAGTTTTATGCTATTTTGTGTTAATTTTAAGTTTCATGAACACTTTATTTGACCAAAACCTGTAGTTTAGACAAGTTAAAACATTGTTTAGCACTACTTGTTTCCTGAGTGAACATCATAATGGTGCCAAATTCTCAAAACCTTTTTAGCGGTTCTTCCCCTTGTAGGACAGAATAATTGTTTCAACAAACTTTTACATGGAGGAAACATGAGTAGAAGAACGACACAAGATACTAAACTGTTTACACCAGGAGACACATCAGTCCTGCATTTACTCCCTTCACTGGTTCCCAGGACATATCTCTGTTGATTTTAGTCTTTTAATTGTGTTTAAAGTTGTTAATGACATTATGTGATCTCTTACAAACACATTACCCAGTCAGAGTTCTTGGGTCTGCTGACCAACATCTTCTAGAAGTCCCCGGGTCCGAACAGTCCAAACAGTGAGGTGACCGTATCTGGTCCAAGCATCTTGATCATTACTTTCTGAATTGTGGACCATTGATGATCTGATTTTGTGTAGAGCTAAACTTAAAATGCCTTTGTTTAGACCTGCTTTTAGCAAATAGTAGCACTGTGAGGCTTCAATGCAGCTATTTTTGGCAAAGTAGTGGCCAAAAACACAACTTATGCACATAAGATTTGGTTGGTTGGTTGGCTGACGGATTGCCTTTGAAGCAAGTCATTAATATTCTTTAGGGAAACATCCAAAAAAACTGAGATTATTATGGTGTTTCGTGTTAGAAGATATCTGAAAGAGTTAAGCTGTCACTAAATGAAATGGTCTGTCTTAAACTTCTATCCACTTTTTACTCAACTACAAATTAAGGATTTGTAAGCATTCTTGTGCTAAAATAATCTTAAATCTGACTAAAGCCTGAAGTTCATCTAACCTTCTGCAGGAAAGCTTTACTTTACCATATCAGAAAAGGTGTTTAGGCCACAATGACCGAAAGAAACGTCCTAAAGAGAATAACTGATGCATTCAATCCAGACCAAACAGTAATCATGATAAACGGAGCATCATCTGCTGTGGTTGTGTTTGCCATCACCAGCAGTCTGCACATAGGACGGGCGCTCTAATGGAGATGAGGTACTGTCCCAGAACCGTTTCATCAAAACTAACCATCATCTAGACGTCCTACCAAACGGGTCAAAACTTTTGATGGAGAGCTTCCACTGAGTCAAACATAAGAGTTCTTGTTTTTCAAATATGCATTCACACAGTAAAGCTTAAATTAGGTGTTATTCATTAAAAACAGGTGTTTCTTAAACTACATAAAAAAATTCAATCGCAAAGATGAAGAGTGCAAAGAGATTTAGATTCATCAACAAAACACATTAAAATGGCAAGAGTGGCTTGTCACCAAAACCAGAGAAACGTCCCTGTCAGGTTTGAATGAGAAGTGAAGGATGCCACACTGTGGTTGCCACACGACAACGCAGGCCCAGTGCAAGTCGACCTGCAGAAACGGATCATCTGTGCATTTCCTACATGCCGTTTCATGCTCAGTCACCCAGCGAGACAAAAAGCTCCAGAAAGCTCCAGAAAATGAACTCATTCAGCGATTTGAACTCCAGACAATGAGCAAATTCAAAAGAAGACACGTTCCTTTCTGCTTTCATCACAAAAGCAACAATCAGCATAATCCAGGTTATAATCTCAGCCAATCAGTGCGCAGGGAAAATTCATGCTCTAGCCGACGACATGATCCACCACAGATTATCCGAGAGTCAGGTTGTATCTCTAGCATTTGTAGGAGAGTGAAGCGTTTCAAGCAGTAAAGGTTTCCAGCAACATTACATGATGTTCACATAAAATCCATTCTACTGTGCTTGTCTCTATATCCCACATTCACAAACAGAGGAAAGCATCATCCAGCAACGCCAAAACACAAGACCTTATTAAACAAATGCCACCTCTTCACATCTGTACCAAAGTCAGATTTATGCCGTGCCGACACATAAAGGTTTTAGTCTGGTTATTAGTGGCCGCTGTGGTCTGCCTGCGGCAGCAGAAAAACACAAAGCCAGAGCGACCGCACCACATCACAGCAAACCTGTGAGTGTTTAGACAAAAGCAACAAGCCTGGCCAGGGCAGGTGCTCAGCTGCCTTACTTTCCTCCAGTCAGACGCACCTGGTCAGAGTCTTCCACAACGGCTTGGTCCTGCAACCACAGGGAGAAGGGAGCCCAAGGGACTGACTCACATTGCACACTAGTGAGCAAAGGCAAGCCGAATTATAAAGCAGGTAGTTAAGGGGAAAGAGCAGCGTGTCTTGTACATTTAAAAAAAAAACAAAAAAAAAAAAAGCAAAACTGCTGACTAAGGATGATGTTTTTAAGAAACTAAAGAAATGTCGGGCTGGTTGTGTGGTTGGTGACGGTCTTGTTAAACGTTTGTTGATCTGAATGTTCTGTCCTGCTGCAGCGCTGGCCTGTTTGTGGAGGCATGAAGTGCACAGTGTCATTCCGTTTAGCACTGAAAACACAGTGTTGTGACCTGGAGGATCAGAATAAGGAGGATGAGAAGGTAAATCCTTATTATTTAGCACATACGGTGAGAAATGTGGTGGAATACCAAGGCCATGTGATAAACTATCCATTTCCACTGCAGCGTCAGCATGTAAGCCATGTTTAGAAAATTATACAGATGATGTCATAATAGTCCTTTCGGAGCATGTTGCTCTTACTTTTATAACACTTGCTTACTTTTATATATACTTTAACAAATTTCACATCTGGAGTAATTATTGTAAAGCCAAACAGACGACACAGAATGAGTGTCAGTCATTTTTTAGAAGCTGGTTTGCTGTTTTTCATGTATTCGTACTTTCATTTCAGATCTTTCAACAAGCCATTTTATATCTTTGTATTTCATTTCTGTATATGAGCTTAAGAATCTTATTATTTCTGGTACATAAGAGTTAATAAAAGTTACATTTCATGCATTGTTTAATTTTATGCTATTTTCTGAGGACTTTATATTTCACCCTATTTCTACTGACTGTGTTTCTGAGACTGTTTCTGATTTTTGATATTTTTAAAGGAGAACATTGTCATCATCAAACCAAAATATCTCTGAGAAATCTCCTGTCATTTGTTGTAGTCACATAAAATAGTTTCCCTACATGGAACAACAAAATCACTTTAAAGGCAAAATGACCAACAGCCACATCAATGTTTATCAAATGAAGGTTAATTAACAAGTAATAAGTACTAAAAGTAACAAAACAACTGACACTGTGCTACCATGTCTCAAATTGATTTTTTAAAAATAAATAAACACTTTTTATATGACATCAAAACTCATAAAAGTTTTTAAAGACCGAAAAGAGAGCTGGTATAAAACCGAACAGAAAGCAATGCATTCTGCTTTAGCCACTTCAGTCCACTGCTGACATCTTGTGATCACAGGTGGTATTTCTATTCTCTACTGCTTTAAAAACACTACAGTAAACCAGTCATGTACAATTTACAGGGGCCAAAATAAGGACAGAACATGCTCAGTAAGTATATTTCCAATATTTGTATTCGTATAAAATTCACACCAGATGTCGTCAACGACCAAAGTAAAAGAAATGAATAAGAAAAATTGCAATGACAGTGAAAATAACTTTTTCTTTGTTAATGACACATTGAAGACATTTTCTCCAGGGAGAAATAAATCATACGAATTGCTCAAGTGAGATTTTGATAAACTCTTAAAACGTTCTATGCACTCTGAGCTTTTCTTTTTTTCCCCATAGATATTCAATTAGATCACATGATTGACTAGCAGCTTTACTTTCTTTCCCTGAAATCGATTAAGAGTTTCCTTGGCTGTTTGTTTGGATCTAGAAAGTCTGGGTACGTTTTTCCATCCATCTGTCCTTTGATTATATGACATCTACCAGAACCACATGTTGGAAGAGCAGTCACATCATGATGTTCCCACTTCCAAATTTCACTATTAGTATGGTATTTCAGGGGTGATGTGCAGAACCTGTTTTTTCTCCGTAGTGTGTGCAATAAAATCTCCAGAGTTTAGCTCTGACCTCGTCTCCCCTGATGCCACTGACTTCTCTAAATCTTCTGAAGCAAACGTTAAAAAGAAGCTTAAAGACGGTTTTCCTTCAGCTGAGGAGTTTTGTGCAGTGAGTGTGCGTACCGACAAATTCCAGCTGGTTTCTTGGCTTTTCGTACTTTTTTGTTTTTTTTTACACATCCTTTTTCTTCATGTGTACAAAACTTACTCCTAGCACCATTTCCCTTCATTGCACACATTTTATTAACAGATTTGTTTTCATTTCTTGGCTTTTCTAAGCTAAACTTTTACTGAGGACAGCTGTGAATTCAATGTCAAAACTAATATTAGACATATATTCACTGAGAGACACGTTGACATTTGAAATACTAGTTTACCTAAAGTGATGAGGTGATGTTTGAATGTACAACAAGGACATTGCTTGAGAAATTTTAAGGATTTTTGGGGGGTGAGAAACAGTAAAATACATTCATACAGGAAAAGAAGTGAGTATGAAGGACATAAAGGTCAAGATGGACAGGAAATGAAAACATGCAGAACCACAAACTTGTAAAAGTACAGGGTTAGGACTAACAGGCAGTCATTTCACAAACAACACAAAGACTCACCAACAAACATAAAAACACCAAAAGGGACTTAATACTCAACTAGGTTTTGTTTTTACATTCATAAAATGTCCAAATTCTGCATGTAAGACACATAATGTTGGCAAAACTGAATTCACAGCAGCATGAGGCCACATACAAACGCACAAGGGCGGGGAATAAATGAAGCAACATGTCACCATACCGAGATGAGACAAAAAAAAAAAAAAAAAAAAAAAAAAAAAAAAAAGGGGCCATTTGGGAAAAAAAAGGGGGGGGGGGGGGGGGGGGGGGGGGGGGGGGG